GAGGAAAATATGGGAAATTCTGCTAGGTTTAGTAAGAGAAAATAAGTTATGAAATTCAAAAATAAAGGGTGAAGAAAATAAGTTTTAGAATATTTAAATAAAGGATAAATATGAAAGGAATTCAAATAGGTTATTCATAATTTATTTATACAAAAAGTAATCTTAAAATTGAATCCAACTATAAATACATGAACTCAGAGATTCAAGAATAGTAAAGAAAAAATTCTTTATAAATCCCATTTTCCTTCCCAATACCTAAGCTAACACCACCTTTAATTTAGGTCAAAAGCATGCTTTTGCATATAATTTTTCAAGTGTACCCATTGAAGGGGTGTGCATTGGCCATAATCGAAAATCAATAGCACATATGAGTATGGGGTGTATGGTACATATTGCTGGTCAGGTAGACCGTTAGCGTTAACGCAAAACGGGCAATGGCCCAAAGTTGATTATGAATATTTGATGCGCTCCGTCGAACTGCGCAGTTGACAGGGCCAAAACAGAGCCACAGCCCGAGGAGGTATAACATAAAGGCCCAAACACAACAGCAACAAGCGGCGGGGACCTATTAAAGTGACGAACGCACTGCAGATATTAACCATGGAGTGGCGTGGCGTCGCTTCGCGGCAGACAGCAATTTGTGCCGTCGGGTTAATGACACCTTCCTTGCCAGGCACACCCCGTTGCCATCGATTTTGGTATCCAGGGATCCAGGGGATAAATTCAAGATGACGCCATGTCGGGCTGCAGGACCTTGGGACCATAAAGCCGCGTAATACCCAATAAAAGCAATTAAGTTAATACACGAATGCCCCGGAAAGTATGCTCTCTCTTTGGCTGTGCCAAGTGCAACAATTGAAGCACCCACACATTTATATATAAATATATGTACATGTGTATGCTTAAATGTTAGCCAAGGCCAAGTCAAGTTGGTCAAGAGGAAGAGCAAGAAGCAGCAGCAGAAGCAGCAGCAGCAGCTTGCATGCCAATGGCCAATAAGTCGCTGTGGCACGCAAAAGAAAAGCCCGAAAAGTCATGGAAAAGGGAGAGCAAAGCAAAGGCAGCGAACACAATTAGAGTAACTCGCTTAAATTTACAGAAAATGGAAAGTGTGCTGCCGAGACGTGAGTGTTAGTTCCACTAACTTTCCTTCAAGCGCCCCTCGCACATTTTCGTGGCCAAAATAAAATTAGGACAAGACACTGAAAGAAACAAGAAAGCTAAAAAGTCCAGTCATTATTTTAAGATTTAGATTATATTTTAAACCTTATCACTCGCTTATAGTCTGAACATTGTTCGTATAATTAAATGATCACATTTTTTCCTCAAGACTGACCTTGCTGTTGTGCATTCTTTCCCACTTTCCTTGCCTAAACTCTAAGCAAACTATTTGACATTTTCTCTCTGTGATGGCCGGCGGATGTGGCCTGTGGCCGGAAGTCAATGGCGTCGAATTGGGGAAGACCCGCCGGCGAAAGGAAGCCCGGCCACACACCAAGACACCGAGCATTTTCGCACGGACATCTAGTGTTGAGGTTGCCGCTGACGCACATTTCAAAGGGTCGCCCTTCGCGGCAATTGCAGAGCACTTAAAAATAAATGCACTTGACTTGCAAAATGCTTGCACCAAACAAAACAAAATGGCGCCCATAAATTTAGACAATGGCAATGGCGACGCTGTAGAAAGTCGGCAATAAATGTTTGCCACTCGCAAGCGTAACAACAATGGGAGAACACACTGTAACAACAATTGGCATAACAAGAGCTACGGGCTGGGCAACATTGACACGCTTTTTGTACATATTTGTATTGCCTTTCCCTCCTCAGGCGGCTTTAGTTGCCTTTAGTTTTCGCTTTGTTCTTATTTTTGTTTTTCGTCCTGGCCATTTCACTCAACCCCTTCGAGTTGCCCCCGGGGCGAAAGCAGGAAACATTCCGCCATGCAATATGCAAATGGAAAAGCTCGGAGTTCGCTGCTTTTAGCACTTAAGTGGATTTTTGGCATTTGATGCAATGTATCTTGTCCTGCGGGGGGTTTTTGGTTGCCAAAAAGGGGCAGGGGACGAAGGAATGGCAGTTTCTTTGAGCCGCAAGTTTGACTTAGTTGAGCGAGGCAAAGTGTCTTTAAATATTTTATAGATTTAAAGTTCAGGTTGAATTTCAACATTTAAACATTTAAACTTTAAGTTATATAAAAATCTTTAATATTTTATAATCAATTTTATATTTTTTATCAATTATAAATTCACTTACAAATGAAGTTAAATAACCCATCGATCATCACCTTCTCCTGCGTCAGATTTAAAATCTTCAATCAGTGCCTGAAAATACACCTCTCTCACCGACTTTGCTAATTATTTTCACTGATGTTTGGCCAACATTTTTCAATTAGCGTCAACAAAGCAAAGAAATCATTAATCACACATGTGCGCTGCCGCCTCCCTCAGACTTTTGGCTTTGTCATCAAATTTAGCCAAAGCAACTTTACAGAGTCGCCTTCTTTGTGTGTTTATAGTAACCCGAGAAGCGACGCCTGGTTGGGAAATGTCCGGGAAAAGTCAAGGCTCCGGCGGACGCCGATGGACAATGTCAAACAATTTGAGGGCAATTAAGTGGCCATTTTGTAATGTTGTGCATACGTGTTAGCAAATTATGTTTGCAGATTTATGGCCCCGCACTAAATGCTGTCTTTGGGGAGTGTGTGTGTGGGTGTGTGTGTGGGCGTTGTCATAAATTTTAGCAGCCATTATCTGGCCGAGTTTTTATGACAAGGCCAGAAGCAGTCAAAAGAAAATGTGCTCGCCTCGTCCTTGTCTTGTGACCAAGTTTTGCTGGAACAACGAAAAGGTCTCACCTCATTAAAATGGGAAATTAATTGCATTCTGCCACGGCGTTTTAGCCTCAAGGCAATTCAACAGGTTCCAAGGTGAAGTTGGCCACTTCACACACAAACACACACGCACACACACACACAACACTTGTACACATCCTGTGCCCGAGAATTAATTGTCGAGCTGCGGGGCTAACGTGTTGCATGCATTCCAAATAACAAAACAAAACAAACAGAATAAATAAAAATAAAAAACATAGCTCGCAGAACTATGAGTTTGCATGCAGTTTAGTTTCATTTTGCGCCAGAAATAATTGCAATACAAAAAAATAAAGAGAAAAACTTTTGCCTTTGGCTTCGCACGCGATTAAAATAAATGAGAAACTCAAGCAGCGCGAACAAAAGCTTTCAATTTGATCAAAAAATGTGGAATATCAACTGGAGTTGTACCTCGAAAAAATAAGCTATATAATAAAAAATATAATTACAATAATTTTATGGCAGAAATAATTTTTTTAGAATTTATTTGCATTGAAAATGGAATTTTCTCAAGTAAAAACCGTTCTTACAATTATTTTTACCTTGAAAAATATTTTAAAATATGAATTTAAGAAATATTTTCTAGGGAATTTATTTAATAAAACATAAAATATTTAAGATATTTTTAAAGAAATACATTTAAAATTTTTTGGGTTAGTAGAAGTCAAATATAAATTTTCTATGAATTTATAATTGAATCCATTGTAAATCTTGGAAGAAAAAACTTTGTTACTTCCCTTTATTAAACCAAAATAAATTATTAAATGAATTTAATTATATTTTATTATAGATATCTAAAATATAATTCCTATACTAATTTCCCTGAAGTTCATCACACCCTTGGGGGCAAGAACTCCACCCATTAGCTACAAACTCGCCAGAAATGTTGTCAAAAATGTGAGTACTTGAGCTTTGGCATTGCCATTCTCCAATTATATAAGGCCAAAGTGCCCACTTGGAGCCAGGGGAGTCGGGGGGGTTGGGGCTAATAAACAACAATTTAGTCCGGCTAAAATGCAGCAAAACTATATGGTTTGAGCGTCATAATGCCATAACTATAACTCGTATAACTCTTAACCCATGACCCGTGGCACACGCGAGGCGAAAGGGCAGCGAGAGTGACAGGTGGCGCACAAATCTGCAATCTGCATGCGAATGGCTGGCAATGCGACTGCGACTGAATACCAAATGAAGACGTTATTCGGCTGAGGTCAGTTAACATTTCTTTCCCGGCGACTACGCATGGGGCAATCCATTTGAGAAATGCCCGGACCTTATTACTTGCCATTTCCGGCGGTTCGTAAAAATTCAAATTTGATTGCAATGCGGCAGAAAGTAGGAAAATCCAACTGAAAATCGGACTGAAAATCGTACTAAATCTGGGCAAAGGCCAACAAATAACAGGGCAGTGTGCTGGCTGACCCCAAAAATAGACGCATTTAAATGCAAAGGCACAGCCTTCGGCGATTGCAAATTAACGCTAATAAATAAAAGAGACGCGACCTCGATTTTCGCCGAAGGGGTAAGAATTCTCCAAACAAACGCAGTATTCATTTGCATATGCAATTATGCGATAATTGCCGCTGGCCCTAAAAAGTATGCTACGGCTCTGGCAAGAGGGTGAAAATGGGGGCTGGGAAACTTCCACCCGCTGATTGGGTTCCCTATCTTATCAGTTGTCCGCAACTATTGATTTATAGTCCCACTGATGGGGCGCACAGTGGGCGTGGCATTTCAAAATAGCGTGATTCAATAAGCGAGTTTCTGGGTAAGTGATTCATGGCGGTGACCTCGAAGTGATATTGGGAATAGTAATGAAGTGGGTGGGGTTTTTTTTTTTTAAGTACTTTTTTGGCAAAAAATATTTAAGTTAATTTTTTCTTATATATATCTTTGTACATATATATATAATTTATATAATGTATAAATCTATGTATATAATCTATAGAAAGTAATCTAGCTTTCCCTGTGTATCCCACTGTCCACCTGGAAAGCTTGATTACACGGCACGCATAATTAAGGTGCTCGGCATTTACGCAGCTTATCGACCATCGATATGCGGTCAGATATAATTGCTTTACCATAAGCAACTCTTACTGATATTGCTCTTCGTTTTCCCTATAAATTGCAGCTATTGCCCCCACAAAATGCTGCCAAACCACGCCTGAGCCTCAACCTCAACTCAACCTGAACCTGGGCCTTTCAACCACGAATCAAGGCCAGAACACAAACTGTGATCATAGACATAACAACGAGAATTGCCGCTGGAGCACTTGGCCCGAGAGAGTTCAATACCCAGAAGGACATCGTCACGACCACAAAGAACACAGTCAGTCCCGGAAGCCAGAAAGCCAAAAATGAGGGAGGCCGACAGGAGTACAAAGGACATAGCCAGCAGCCTGCCAGACCGCAATTGAAGGATTTATAGAGCCGCAGATATATATATAGATATATATAGAGACCGGGCCGGATAATCGGAATCAATTGCCCCGGCGATAGCAATCGGAGGAGCAGCAGCAGAGGACCAGAGCTGAGGAAAAGCGGAAAAGAGGGGCAGCACACACACCAACGGAGGCTGTAATGACGACAATTGACGCGATGTAGCGGTAAGTTCGAAAGACACTAAATTACACTAGAAGAAATAGGTTTTATAAGCCAAAAAATATTATACAAAATATTTTAAAATAGTAGAAGTTCCCCCTTATAATTTCTCTCTGTTCTGTTTGGCTTATAAATCTCTTTCTTTCTCGATTTTACAGCAGACTTATGGTCGGCGAACGCGACAGGGACCGTGAGGCGGTACGCTGGGCAACGGGTGAATCGACACCGCTCCAAACCAATAATGGAGTATTACAAATGGTCGGGCAATTGCAAGGTGGACAGGCTGCTGGCCAGCAACAGCAACAGCAGCAACAAGCGACTCAGCAACAGCAACTCTCGAAACAGCAGCAGCAGCAGCTTCAGCAACAGCTGCAGCAGCAACACAAGCACCAGCAGCTGCAGCAGCAGCAGCAGCATCAGGAGCAGCAGCAACTCCTGTATCAGCAGCATGCAGCTGCAACTAATGCAACCGACATGGGCGACAATCAGCCGTACTATGACACCAGCGGCAACGTCGACTGGGAGCGGGCAATGGGAGCCGCTGGAGCTGGTGCATATGGTGGCCTCGGCCTCGGATCTCTCCCAGCAGCTGGCGGCGGTGCTTATCACCTTGGGCCAGCTGGTGCCGCTGGTGCACGCCAGTTGGATTACGCTGATGGCGGCCACCTTGCTGGCCCATCCGCCGGAAATGCTGCAGGTCTTTCTGCGGGATCTACAGCGGGAGCGGGAGCAGCAACAGGATCAGGTGCAGGATCAGGAGCCACAGCAGGAGGAGCAGGAGGAGGAGGAGGAGGAGGAGCAACACCAGCAGCAGCAGGCAAGGAGGTTCGCTACGCCCCATTCCCAGTCGCATCGCCAACGCACTCGATTCCCACAACGTCACAGCAGATCGCTGGCAGCGTCGGTGGCGGGGGCGTCGGTGGCGGAGGCGGAGGTGAATCAATTTCAGGTGGCATGCCCACCCAGAGCCAGAGCCAGAGCCAGAGCCAGAGCCAGACCACCGGCGCCCTGCAGCGGACACATTCCAGATCCATGTCCTCCATACCGCCGCCCGAGCCATTCATGATAGCCCAGTCCAAGGCGGTGAACAGTCGCGTGTCCATCAATGTGGGCGGCGTCCGGCACGAGGTGCTGTGGCGGACGCTGGAGCGACTGCCCCACACGCGGCTCGGGCGGCTGAGGGAGTGCACCACCCACGAGGCCATCGTGGAGCTGTGCGACGACTACTCATTGGCCGACAACGAGTATTTCTTCGACCGCCATCCGAAAAGCTTCAGCTCCATCCTGAACTTCTATCGCACCGGCAAGCTGCACATCGTCGACGAGATGTGCGTGCTTGCGTTTAGCGATGATCTGGAGTATTGGGGCGTCGACGAGCTGTACCTGGAGTCCTGCTGCCAGCACAAGTACCATCAGCGCAAGGAGAACGTTCACGAGGAGATGCGCAAGGAGGCGGAGTCCCTGAGGCAGCGTGACGAGGAGGAGTTTGGCGAAGGTAAATGCGCCGAATACCAGAAGTATCTGTGGGAGCTGCTCGAGAAGCCCAACACCAGTTTCGCCGCCCGGGTAAGTCCAGTCGGTTGCCCCGACTTAAGGTATTATAGTGTCCTGTTACTCCAATATCCCAAAGAAAAAAAAATGATCCTAAAGATTCCCCACAACAGAGAAAAATTTGTAATTGCTTAAGAATTATAAAACTAATGTTCTGATACTTATTTAAATTTTGATAAATATAAATTTTTCTCTGTGTAATACCTTATTCCCCAAATCCAATTACCCAACGATTCTCATAGATGTGTTCGTATTGTGTTTCTAACCGTTGAACTGTGAAACTGTGTCAATGTCAAGCGTAAGATATATATATCTCTTTAGTTCGATAACCAGATAATATCCCCAGATATATCCCCCTCCCAACCGAGTTATTTTGAACCTCTTGAGTTCTTCACTTACATCTTGAGTTTACTCTTTTGTAGTTGAACTTTGGTTCTGTGCAAAGTCACTATTATTTTTACACTATCGCCAAGTACTTTGCACTCTGTAATATATATAACTCAGCCAACGAGCAGATCAGAGTATAGTGTAAGAATAACAGCAACATATCTCTATCTCTACCTCTATAACTCTCTCTATATATAAATATTTATATATACAATATATATACCACTCTCTCAATGCTGTACAAAAATCCGCCAAACCATCACTTGCTTTTGCGACTCAGATACAAAAAAAAAAAAAAAAAAACTACAAAGATATGCTTGCACTCTGAAAAGATATAATATACATACTCGTTACTTATTCTCGTTACTCGTTACTGGTTACTCGCTACTGGTGTTAAGCGCTACTGGGAATGTCCGCCAGTTATCTGTACTCAGATATTATCCCATATATAAATGCCGCTTCCTGGCGCGCCGATCCTTTGGGATCCACATCAGTGTTTTTGTACATACCGCTGGCTCATGTGTGAATATCCCATATACAAAGTGCTTCCAGCTTTTGTGCCGCCCACACACATATATCGTACAGTTTGGAACTGGACCTACATCGGACAGATAGAGTCTTCTTCCCTCGAACGGAACCGGAAGTTCCCAGATCTGCGATTAGAGTAACCTCACAAATACAACGTTGAAAAAAAATGAGAAAGAGTTTTCGGCACTTTTTTGAGTTTGATTTGAGTTCAGTTACGTTCACCCCATAATTTCTGCTTTTGCCTAAACCACTCCCACCCTTTATTCTAGACTAAGATGCATTTTATGTTTTTAGTTTGAGTTTCTTCGGTTTTAGTTCGAGTCTTAGTGTAAACGAAACACGCGACGACACCCAGAGAAGAGTTCGAATCCTCAAAAGGCTAAAAATACAAAAAGATCAAACTAGAACTGATCCAAAATTGTTATTACTAATAATCGTTTCTAATCTAATCCAGTCTTTTTTACATCACACACAGTTTTTTGCGAAATTGACAAGCCCTGTATACATACAATATATATTATATATAAACCTATTTATATCTCTACTATAATTAATACGTATATCTCTCTTAATTGTTGATGATGATGGTGAAGTTAATCTCTCTCTGTTTCTCCCCCAAAACCCCAAACAACCCCATGTAACAATGTTTGGGAATGGGCAATAAGCGATATGACCAGGCGGCAGGTGTGCTGTAGAAATCCTCGAAAATATTGTAACGAACAAGGACTCTGGGGAGAAGTGGCCATCTTCGTGTTGTAATACATTTCCATTTTCCATGTGCTAGGGGGGAAAATACCACTAGGTCTTGGGTCGACGGGTCAGAATGTTTCGGGGGACTTTTATACAGTTCCCCATTCTGCCCCCGACCTTGTACCATATATCCTAATAGTCCCGATCTTAAGCTTAAGCTTTTCAAGTCCCGGGCACAACACATTATCACACACACACATACATACACATCTATAAATAACCCCATGTGAAAAACACTCGCATAATACCACGAATTTTGAGGCTTCAGCTTGTAATATACAGCCGATAATTTGCCCCGATTTTCTGCATTAGCTTTGGCTTTAACCAAAAATATAAATATATATCTTTTGGTGGGAGAATGGAAATAATTACAACATATTTGGGTGCATCTCCTATAATTTTTCATTCGATTTTCGGTTCAATTTTTATTTGAATTATGTACTTTTTATTTTCATACTCTCATTTAGGTTTAACTTTTTAATTTTCTCTTTAGTTTGTTTAAAATTCATGGAAAGCATTCCCAGAAATTTCTAAAAACTTATTTAGATTTTCGCAAGAATGAGATCTCTTTTCGTGATTTTGATTTCAAGAATTTTTAATTTAAAACTTTTCTGTTGCATTTTAAAAGGTAATGAAAAATTTCCAGAGCCCTTTGCCAGTTGTACTTTTTATCGTATTTTCATTTTTACGTTTTTCTTCGACAACTAACTATAGTTTTCCAGTCAGAGAGACAGAAGAAACTAACCAAAGATTTTTTAGTTCTGTACTTTTTTGGTTTATTTTTAATACCACGCCTAAACACATCCTTTTTTCAACGAAATGATAAATATGAGAACCAAACAAATCTAGCTCTGATCTAATAACCAAAGCAGTTAACAAAATCCGACTCAGAAAACTCAGTTGAAATCTTCGCCTCGTTGAAAGCGACAAACAAAAGCTCGCCCACAAGACAAACAAAACAGAAAATAATACCCGAAAATACTCCAAAAATATTCAAAAACTTTTAACTATATTTTTTTTCTTATACTATAAATACACTACGAAAAGCAACAACAACAATAAACAAAACGGAAACTAAAATATCCAAAATTGTTGTTCAGTTGTTTGTGTGCGCCTTTTGTGTTGACCTTTTCCGTTTCCGTTACTGTTCCGTTCCGTTCGTTCCCATTGGCGGTATACTATGATATATGTACATATCTCTCTATGTCGTATATAAACCGTATATATTTTCTATATTTGAATATTTGATGTCATGTTGTAAACTCGTGTGTATTGCATCTGGAAGATAAATTTATTTAACTCTCCTTGTTATTGTGTTTTAACCGATTTCCTTTATAGCTATTGGTCAATTGATTACTATCTCCTTCCACACACCCCCAACTCACACACAAACACACAGACACTGAAACAAACACACACAACAAATTATACACGAATTGAAACACTTGGAGAAACGTCTACTACGGTGTCTTTGAAGTCTCTTAGAAATCCTCTCTTAAAGTCAGCATCTTCCAATCAGAGTTCTATCTTTCATCCTTAAAGTAGAGAAAAGAAATCTCCCCGTTGATTTCCCCTTTTAGTTTTAGTCTTTTGATTTTTCGGTTTACGAGACCTCCCCGTACCCAAAAAAAAAAACAAGAATAAAAAGAATATCGATCGAACAAAATCTCCAACTTGAAATATTAACCCACCAAATTTGCTGCATTTGAATGCCACTAGTATAGAATTTCGTCGTAGTCGATTCGTACTGAATTCTATAGCCGTTTGTATCGAATTTTGTTTGTTTTTTAGTGAGTCGAACAAAGTATGCGAACCAACTCATGCACCACCCACCAAAAAAACCACCCAAAAACACCCCCTACAATCTCCCACCAAACCTCCCAAAAAGTATAAAAATAAAAAACCACCGAAAAACGAAACCGCAAAACGAACAACCCGTAAATAAAACACTTCACGTGAAACCAAAATGCAAAACCTGATCAAATATTTTTAAGCCGGAACTTGGTTTCCGAACGACACACAGATACACCTAAACACACACACAACCACACACCAAACACGGCGACACACTGAGCAAAAAACCAGCTCAAGTCTTGCACCCTTTTTGAATTTCAATTGAATGTCATTTTCCGTTTACCGACCCAAAGTTTACCCTTTTTGATCTAGATTTAGTTTAGTACGGATTGTAAATTTGTATATTCCTATAAATATCGTATATATCTCAATATATTCGAAACTCTTTTGTCCCGATTTTCTTGTCGCATGTCTTGTTTTTTGACTGTTTTTATGACTTTCCTCTTTATTTCTCCGTCCCCCAACTCTCAGTTTCACCTTTTTCACCTGTCTCTGTCACCTTTATCTATCCACACACTTTGCTTCACCTTGCCCTGAGATCTTGTCCTGTTATCCATCGACTTTTCATAACTTGTAATTCAAGTGGATTTCAGCCAGGTTCAGGGAAGTTAATTCAAATTTAATATCCTATTTTCGATGCGATTGCAAAGGTTGTTTGATTTTTTAACAATTAAAAATATGAAAAATTATGTACGTTTAGATAGTTTATAAATTTCAAATTAGGAAATAACAAGCTTTAAAATATAATAAAAAGATTAAACGTAATTTACAGTATTTATTTCCGATTTTAAAAGCTTTATTGGCTTCAAATAAAATTTCCTACAATTTTTTAGACCCAACAAATCGAAAATATAACATTTTTATACCCCCAAAACCTTTGCAAAAGTATCCTTTACCCTTCGGACCACCGATGATCAGCTTCCTTTGACGCTTTGAGTTTCCCCTCATTTTTTATGTAAATCTTGTGGCTCTGTTGTCCAGCGGCTTTATAGAGTACAATTTTTTGAGTTTTTGTAGGCCTCGAGCAGCAGCAGCAACAGCAGATACAGCTTTTGGCGACTGGCTTCGCTTTGAACTTTGTAGTTAGTCTGTGAGTTTTGTGCATATTTTCAGTTACCTCTTCAGTTTCGATTTAGTTAACCAAACCGAGACTGTGATCAAGTAAGCCAGCTAGTACTTGGAGTATTTGCGATATCATGTTTTACTTTCAACCCAGCGAACCCTGTATCAGCTAGAAACCTCAATCCCGGAACCCTAGAAACCAAAACCAAATACCCCCCAAAAACCACCTCCATGACTGAGCAGCAATGGTAGCAGTTCCAAAATCCAAAACCCAGTAATGCCAAAGTGATAATTCGCACACAACTTTTTTGTTTACGAAACATCCCTCCAATGCATTCTGTTCAAATCGAAAGCGAAATAAGAATCGAAAGTAAATTAGTTTGTAAAGTACAAGTTTTCATCACCATCTCAAGTAGATTGTTGTTACCCTCCGCCTCCGCCTCAATCCCACAATCCCCGAATTTCCTCTGGAAATTTAATTAACTTTCCCGAAGTTTGAAACAGACCAAAGACCACTTCAATTGCAATCAGTTCTCTCTCTCTCCCCCCCCAAACTCTCTTTCTGTCTCTGTAACTATAGCCATAACCCCTTACTATCTTTGTCTCTTTTTAAGCCCCTGGTGTGACCTCTTTCGCACTTGTATCTTGTATCTGTACTACTCTTCTTCTCATCGTATGAAGCTCTAGCTAAATAGCACCATCAAATTATTTTCTCTCTCTTTTCGGTTCTCCGTTTTCTTTTACGTTTCCTTGTGAGTTTGTGTATCTTTTAGTGTGTGTTTCGTTTATCCTTACGTAATGACTCTCCTTCTTGACTATATGTATCTTTTGTCTAATAACTGCATAATATCTGTATCTTTAACCTTTTGTATCTATATACGTAGAACAAGCCATAAGCCATAACTAGAGAAGTCAGCTCATCCAACAAGGAGGCAGAAATGTCAAATATAAAAATTGAACCTCAGCTTTCCCCCCCGCCCCCACATTTTCCACGATCCAGTTCCAGATCCCAATTCCAGATCCGATTCCGTTTCCGAAACCAGAACTGCGTGGTTGCGTACAGTGGCCTACTATGGTAGATCTGGACACTCACAAAGAGTTATCTATGCATACCACCACTTTGGGGGCGTGGCATGTCCAAGATGTTCAAGCTCTATAACTCTATAACTCTATATCTCTCTATCTTTCACTCTGCCTCTCTATATATCTGTCTTCTTTTAGTCGAATGCCATTGGCTAATTCCAAGGGCACACTTTTAAGCAATTGATATTTATCGATAAATGATTTATTTTAGTAAACAACAATATATTGGTAAATAAAAATATATCTATATATGTTTTTTCAACACTGAAATGTTTCTTTTTACCCAAAATAGTTTATGATTTTAATATTTAGACTTGTTATTAATTTTAAAATTATCGATAAATTCGATAAACAAGCCAAATTTCAGATAACCCAGAAAATGTAAAAAGTTGTGCCCCAGGAATTAGTCACACACTCACACACGCCTCTTAAGACATAAAGACATACCACACTTCTCACTCAGCCTCTCTCTCAGACACACACACACATAGACACCACATGACCTAAAGCCCAGATACAAATTCGGATTCGGATTCAGATACAGTCTAAGGCCCAATGTGGCAATCAGGAGGCGCCTTCCATCTTTCATTTTCCATCTGGCATTGAAACTGCAAATGAAATTTTGCATTCGCATTTGTGACAGGTCCTCTCTGCCCTCTGAAAAATCCAATTTTCCACCCTGCCCCCCTCCGCAACACTTCCAAACACTTCAATCTCTGCAATTGGCAGTTTTTTGGTAAATTAAATGTATTATTTAGAACAAAACCAATAATTCAAATTGTTTATGTGTGTTTGTGTATATTGAAAGGAATCTATCCGTCCAATAAATGCATCATTTCAGGGCTATCTGTGTGACAGATGCAATTATTTGATGGCCCAGTTTTCGATTTCTAATTTCTAATTTGTAATTTCTAATTTACAATTACTCACTTGGTTTTTCGTTTTTCCTTTATCTCGTAATTGTGATACCTTTTAGCTCGTTTGCTACGAAAGTTATGCATTTGGATTTGAATTTGAATTTGAATTAAACTTTGACTTTAAATTAGAACTTCTTCCTTTTCGTTGTCATTTGCTAGAACTATCATAAAAAAAAACCCATCCTTGAGATATGTACTTTGATTTCCCACAACCATAATTTTCCAATTTTTCCGAAACAAGAAAAAACCATATAAAAAAGAAAACAAATACACATACTCGTACAGCGAATGAGCAAAACACGCCGATAAATACAAAATTGTTTGTCCAATTGGTATTCAAACGAAGAACGAAGAATGGTGATTAATTTGTAAGGGAATATATTTGAGATTTGAAAATAAAAAAAAAGATTTTAAAGTCGACTGCAGTCCCCAAGGGTAGCGTCTCTTATTTTGACGACGGAGTGCCCCCCCTGGTTCACCCTCATACCATAATATATAGATCCAATTAGACACACACACGTATAGCAAATATGTATGTAGGTGTGTTATGTCCTTGTGTTGCGTCATGTGATCTGTCCCCACAACAAACTCTAAACAACTAAACACACACACTAAACAACCAACCAACCACGAACCACCAGAGCCACGAACCACGAACCACTAACCACTTACCACTAACCACTTGCCACTTACAAACAATCAACAACCACTTGCCCCACTCACAAGCCCACACACTCAGAAACACCCAGAGAAAGAGTTGATCTAGACTAGAGACCCACTGAGCTCCAAAAGCTTCGAGACCTAGGAAAAAATATACAAAAAAAAATATACATTAAATGAATATATAATAAAAACCCAACCCATGTTTTCGTTTGTGTGTTTTCGTTTGTTGCCAACCTTTGATTTCAATCTTTTTTGGTTTATTTGATGAAGAAGGATTCACGACAAATAAAATATATACTTCACATATAGTACAGCAGCCTTTGAAAAGTACAAAAAATAAAAACCGATCAGGAAAGCCAACCAAGTCCCTGAATGAAACGAAAAGGTTATAGGAAACAAACCCCTTTAAATAGAAACTGAAACGAAATGAAATAGGAAAAACGATCAGGATAAACTTCTCAACTAAACTTCGATTGCAGGTTAAACCTGCTTTAGGAAAACAATTTTTAACAGGCCAAGATTCGACTAACAACCTCGAAAAGCTAACTAAATGTTTGCTTAACCCCAAACAAAAATCAAACCAAAAAAAAAAACAGAATCAAAGTGAACTCTTTATGAGGAGAACTCGCTGAACTTTGCTGATTGTTGTAACCATGTTTTTTCGATTAATTAAACAAAAAAAAAACCAAACCAAAAGTAGCTGTGTATAAATGACAGACTTACTCGTACTATATTATTGAATGAACGTATCGTGTTATGTACCTAAATACCAACAAAATACCTTTAAAAAAAAAAACAAAAACAATACAATACCCTATTATCGTTGTGATTTGATTGCATTGAAAATTGAATCGTTGCTGAATCATGGTCTCGACAAAGTCTCGATTGTTCTTTACCGTTCGCAGGTTATCGCAGTGATATCCATACTATTCATAGTCCTGTCTACCATAGCCCTGACGTTGAACACCCTACCACAACTACAACACATTGACAACGGTACACCACAGGATAATCCGCAATTGGCAATGGTTGAGGCCGTGTGTATCACGTGGTTCACTCTAGAGTACATACTTAGGTTTAGCGCCTCGCCGGACAAGTGGAAGTTCTTTAAGGGCGGCCTTAACATAATCGATCTATTGGCAATACTCCCATACTTTGTTTCGTTATTTCTATTGGAAACGAATAAGAATGCAACGGACCAGTTCCAGGATGTGCGTCGGGTGGTGCAGGTCTTTCGCATCATGCGCATCCTGCGAATCCTTAAGCTGGCCCGTCACTCAACGGGCCTGCAGTCGTTAGGCTTTACGCTGCGTAACTCATATAAGGAACTCGGTCTACTAATGCTGTTCCTGGCCATGGGCGTTCTCATATTTTCTTCGCTGGCATATTTTGCCGAAAAGGATGAAAAGGATACAAAATTCGTTTCAATACCGGAAACATTTTGGTGGGCGGGTATTACAATGACAACTGTTGGCTACGGGGACATCTATCCCACAACTGCACTGGGAAAGGTTATTGGTACTGTGTGTTGCATATGCGGTGTTCTGGTAATCGCTTTGCCTATTCCCATCATCGTTAACAATTTTGCTGAATTTTATAAGAATCAGATGCGACGCGAAAAGGCCCTCAAGCGCCGTGAGGCACTCGATCGTGCCAAACGCGAGGGCAGCATTGTCTCCTTTCATCATATCAATCTGAAAGATGCGTTCGCCAAGTCCATGGATCTCATCGATGTGATTGTCGACACAGGTAAGATATCAATTACGTGCCCTAAATACCTACCTTACTATCGATGTATCAATATATCTATGTGCCTTGCCTTACTTATCTACTAAACCAAAGTCCCACTGAAAGGGAACTATCTCCTAGCCTTCTAGATCCTTGAAGCCCCCACAATCCCTCGCCTCATGCTATGCTTACTATGTCCCACCATCTGTGTTGTATCTCCATAGAAAAATATAACTAAAGATATATATTTTTCTGTGTTTATACCTATATTTTCCCTTTCTAATTAAACGCTTACTCTTGTGTAGATTTATGCCTTGGCTTTCCAAGTACACTTTTACTTTCAGCATGCACTTTTGTTCTTCGCTTTTTCTCTCCATCAGTTCAAATTGGTTTATTTCCGTATTTCGTTCAGTTGTAAGCTGTATCTCTAGAATCCAGCCAAGAGGCGTGTAAATAGCATATTCCACAGGAGTCGGACGAGAGTCCTGCGACTGCGCTGAGCCGTAAGATGATAGAAATTGTTGAACCGTTCAGAGACTTACGTTCGATTGATCAATTGTAAACTAGTTAAGCGATTTGACTTACTCTTAAGTTTCGTAGCTACAAAATAGACCCACAAATAAAAAACACCCCAAGAGACAAAACACACAAACACACACACAGATAATGGTCAATTAGGCAAATGCTTTTGTACTTAGCGCATTAAACGAGGAAATTAGTGGGGTTTTCACTTGTACAAAGCACACCGTCTCTCTCTCTCTCACACACACCACCTCTGCTGTACAAAAAGCCCGCGCGCCTTCAAGTAGGCAATGGAATCTCCCACAAAAGCCGCTGAAAGCCCAAGTTAAACCCTAAAACCCGCTCAACCTCTCAACCCTCCGACGTGTGTATTTTATTTTAGGCAAGCAAACAAATGTCGTGCATCCGAAGGGTAAAAGACAAAGCACCCCCAATATAGGCAGGCAGACCCTCGATGTGCAAAGTGCTCCAGGTGACTACATTGCGTATACGTAGCCTAGTCCACACTATATCCGTACCGCTACAAAATGTATCTATATAAAAACTATTCTCCATAAAATGCCACTTAAAAGTAGTAGCCTTTGACAACCGCTAGAAACACACACACACAAAGAAGACACTGACACGACACGAAACACGCGCCAACCTACAGCCACACTATATTGTACTATATTCGCACACTATCTCTCTGGAGTTCTCTCTCTCTCTCTCTTTCTCTTTTCTCTGGTATCCTAGAATATATTTTGGTATACAATATAGTCCAGTTTTAGCTTAAATATAGGGAGAGAATCACACGGCTTTAGCTTGTATTTAGCTTTGGCTTAGTGGAGAAATTAGAAAGGATGTTGCAGGTGTGCTGGAAAATAATTTTTAAATGTAAAAAAAAAAATATTTAAAAAATATATATATTTCAAAAATATTTAAAATGTCTTAAGAGATTACTAAAAAAATATTTAAAATATAATCAAAATTCTATAATTAATATATATATATACTAAAAATTAATAAAAGAGAAAGGGTTTGTTTTTAATCACAGTAATCCTTAGAAATATATTTATTAAAATGTGGGATAACTTTTTGGTAAAATAATGTTGAATTTAATTTAAAAATCTTGTTTTATTATCCTTTTACTATTCATTTCATAACTTTAATTAAAATGTAGTTAAATATATATTTTAAAATGGAAATGTGATAAAATCAAGTAGTTCAAACATTCAATAATTTATTTATTCATTGACATCCAGCACAGTTGCAAATTCAAAATAATTATAATAACTATAAAGTTTTGCCCCCTCTCAGTTGTGGTCATCCTGTATATATAGGAAAAGGATATATAGCTAGTGATTAGCTAGGCAATTGCTGTTGCAATTTGTTGCGTTGTTCGGTTTTCAGTTTGCCTTCCGTTAAATTGAGTTTGCCTAATTGCTGACTTGAGTTGGACATTTGCCAAAAGTGAATTGTGTGAATTATGATGATGATAAAATTTGCTACTCATTGCTTGATTCTTTGTTTTTCGAACCGCCCCACACACAACCATAGCAAATTTGAATGCTCAACATAGAGTTTAAACATTTCGAATCTGAAAAAAAATATATATATATTTATATAAATACAAACAAACATTTTTTGAAAATTTTCAAGTGCTGATTACATACAATTACGATATATAAACACGACTACACACATAAGCCCATAATGATGTATATGCTCATTCTCTTAGCCAAAACGTAGTTGTACTTTAGCGAATCGAAGTCGTTGGGCTTACAACCCCAAGGCCTAGAAATATTAGACTCCAAATATATCCTACCTACAACGTGTTCTTTTCTCTGCTCTCTTCTTTTTCTACTTTCTGCTCACGATTTTCGAATTTTCCCGAAATCATACCAAACATTTTACACTCACTCAAAACACAAATACAAATATTCGATCCAAAAAAAAAAAAAAAAATGCAAAATTCAAAATTACAAAAATAAAAAACACTGAAAAAAACAAACAACTACTTAAAATAAAAATTAAATGCGGCTGATTTTCGAAATAGGCGAGAAAAACACACTGATCGAGGCACCGCCGCTGCCATCCTTTGGCACACCGCGCCGGCGTGCCCTCTCCGCCAGGATCCAGGAGCTGAACCGCAGCCTGCTGGAGGAGCGCGATGCCCAGCAGCAGAATAGCTCCAGTGACAACGAGGACAGCCGCTAAAAGGATCAAAGGGGCCTCGAACCGCTGCAACCACAGCAACAACAACCAGACCCAAGAAACTAGCAACCAGAAACAAAAACTGTACACTAAGCGAAACTAGCTAAGAGAATGATATATGTAAATTAGACGAGAAGCAAATGCAATTTGTTACAAACACACACCATACACACACACACACACCAATCAATCACACACACACACAACCAAGTCCTAGACTTAAGCGAAAGTACTTCCAGAAAAAGCCAGAAACTATCCATTGGTTAGCAGCTAGCCAGCTTGCTTTTAAGCTTCGAATCAATCAGAGAAAATCAAACGAATTGTGTACTTCCATTTTTGATTTCATTTCCAATTGAATGTTGTGATTAAATGTAACTGCTTTTAGGCGCCAACTCACACACACACACACACACCACAAACCAGCTCCCATACACACACACACCCATGCTGCTGCTTATGAATATTAAGTATACGTAATTGCGCATACGCCATGTTGTACTGTATTCGTATATTGAAAGTTTTGCTAAATGTCCATCAGCACTTGAAAATAAAAAATAAAAAAAACAGAAAATTAAAAAACAAAATAATTAAATTTCCCAAAAACCAAACTCAATGAAAATCCGCTCAAATTTGCTATTGTAACTTATTGATTGCCTTTGCCAGTTTGTGTCTACCTTTGCCATATCCACATTTGGTTTGTCCTCAAGCAAAACTTTCAAGTGCCCAAAGAAAAAAGACAGTTTATAATTTCTAGTGGGTTGCAGCATGTGTGTGTGTGTGTTAGTGCGTGTGTGGGGAATCTTCCAGGAATTAATACATTCCCCATAATATATATTAACTTATATATAAAACCCCTCTAAGGAAATGCTAACACAACACGCCAAAACTCTGAAAATACAATCCGCGTAAGCACAATTTTGATTTAGTCTAAATCTTAGCGATTAACTAGGCCTAAACCTCTATGTAAAACTCCAAGAAGGCATTTATCGAGCGCATTAGTCAAAAGAAAATTCCCTCCATGGACATCAAAAGCACTCCAAGTGGTGGAAAATAATATATATATTAACAGAGCAGAAGTCAGCCTTATTTATGAAATTAGTTGTTGTAGCTGTGAGAGGAGGAGGGATGCTTAGTTTATAATTTAGAGAGTGCATCAGCGATATATAGTACTATATATTCAGTAGGTATACAAATGAAATATACTCGTTCCATATTAGAGATGAGAGAACTTAGCGAAACGATAGCGTTTAACGATTAACGATTAACGATTAACTGGCGAAACGTTCCTAAAACAACGCGCAAGACACAACGGAAAACCAAAATGAAAATTGCCTTATTTAAAGCAAATTGCTCCTAGTTTGCAGCCATACTTTAAGATAGAACAGCTGAAGTTTTGTGTTAAATTGTAAGCCCAACATAAAAAAATATATATAAGCGAGCCGAGCAGTTTATACAGGTTTTAAGTCCCCTTACTTTCGTGTGTGATATATATTTGAACGATTTTAATTATGATTTGCATTGTGTTTCACATAGTTCAAACATTTCTATCATTGCGCTCGAAAAAGAAGCTACCAAAAAATGAATACAAAACCAAATATAAAGAAGCCTTTACGTGCCTTTTACTTAATGTTTTCTCTCCATTTTTCATTCACCATTTTCCCCTCTTTTCCTTAAAATCTCTTCTCTATATATATATACCCTTGTATGTGTGTGTCGTGTCCCCCATTTTAATTTCACATACTTAACGCTTTCGTTCCGAAATTATATCAAATCTTACGCGCTGCATGCTCTAACCTATGAACTATAATCTATAGAAACTGTGTACGCTCTCTTTATGCTCAAGCCATATGTATGATCGATCAAAAGAACATATAGTAAATATATATATATCGTACTAACCCAAGCAAATGTGCTGTACCGTACTGTACTGTGTCCTGTACCCATACTTTTGTGTACTATACTGTTAAAGCCGTAAACAAATTTGTGTGTCTGTGAAATTAGCAATAAAACCAAAAGCCCAACTGCGCTGTATTATTTCATTGTGCTAATCCAAAACAAGATAAGCCCCATATATATACTTGGTGTGTTCAAGGCTTGACCAGATTTTTGAGTTGAAAGGAAAGGTATTTGGGAAAATTTTTACTCATAACCATCATCGTGAGGAACGTTTTCCTCTAACAGTTCAGCCCATTAACTCTCGTTTTTTGTGTTTAGTGCTAATAATACAAGATCACACACAAGAACCTGAATGGCGTAAATGACCATGAATCGGAATTTTGTCTTTTTGGTAAAAATAAAGAACTCTATGTTTCTCACATTTGTTTTGCCGCGTCCACTTGAAGCACTCAGACACTCACAAAGGCCACAACAAGTTTTTAAATGATAATTGAAATGCATTTATCAAATTTTCACAATCAAAATATATCTAAAAGATATTTTTAAAATATATAAACAGTTAAATTTAATTTTAAATTTCACCTCAAAATTTCAAGATAAAATTTAACATTTTTATCAGGGCTTTCCCCTTTCCATTTCCATTTAAAACCCTCTACTTTCAATAGAAATAAAACTACTAACTATACTCAAACTACTATTTAACAACTCTAGTTTAGTTGAATTAGTTTCTAACAGCCATTTTAGCATCACTAAAATTAACTAAATGTTGTTCTAATTCATCTAATCACAAGTACAAGAGTAAGCCCTTAACTTAACCCCAAGTTATAGACGTCGTTCTTCAATGTTGTTCTCACTGTATCCCACTAAAAACTTAAACTTAAAACTAAACTTAACTTAACTTAGCCCTCAACGTTCTTGTGGTCTCCGTCGTCATCGTCGTCGTAACAATTATTAACCCCTCAAAATACAGCGAACGATATAAAAAGCATTCATGAAACTCATTTTCTTTCTTTTTATTCCCTCTTTTGATTTTAAACGATAAAAAAAATCAAAAAACCAAATAAAAACACATTCAAACCAAACCAAAATCCGCTCTAACTCATTACCAAATATATATATATTATATATATTTATGTGTGTGAAATATATATCCCTGTGTATATATCAACACTGGCGTCTGTCGGCTAAACAAATGCGAAACGAAAATGGCGACAAAATGCATTCATGGCTTCTTTGCGCGAAACCCAAAACAACAACAAAACCATACAATCGACATACGATAAAACACGATAATCCGATAACCCGATAACACACACACCTCCCACACACCACTGATCCACTGATCCACACAAAAAAAACACAACACAACCCCGAAACCGCCAAGCAGAAAAGCGCGAGAGTCACACACGTTCACTGAAAAATTGGCACCGTTTAACCCACGCGCTCCGCCGATCGCCCACAGGCCACAATCTCTCGCAAACGGACGGCAACAGCACCGAGGGCGAATCCACCAGCGGACGCAACCCGGCCACCACCGGCACCGGCTGCTACAAGAACTACGACCACGTAGCCAACTTGCGCAACTCGAACCTGCATCACGTAAGTGGTTTCTTGGGGAATTCCCGGTGGGAGTTTCAATGTCTCGTTGTCGGGGTTTTTCGAATCAATCAGAGGGGAAGATGTATAGGAATATAAATTAGGGAGGTTTTTAAAGGAGTTCAAAGTTCACTCTTACTTTTCTAAAATTAAAGATGCATTTATCTTACATTTAGAAATTTTTTAGTTTCTAAGTTTTATTTTTCTTGAATTAAGAAAATATTTAGTTACTTTAAGGTAATAATTTTTGATTTTAAATTAGTTAAGGAACTGATCAAAGCGAATCAGATAAAAAAAAGCCCTACATTTGAGAAAAATAGATTAATTAAGCCCACAAAATTATATTTATGGTGTCTTGTATTGATTTTAGGTTGATTTAGGTTGAAGATTGAAGAACAAAACCATAGAATATTGGAGGGAGTTATGGGTATCACAGATTTGAATAAGTAAAAGTTTAAGCAAAGGGTACTGCCAAGCCTAGAAAGGATTAAGGATTATTTAGGTAACTTTAAAGTATAATATAATTATATTACATTATAAGTTTAAGCAGCAAACTAACAATGTTTCCTAAATAAAATAAGGGAATAAAAGGGGCTTTTACAATTGTAAACGGTACCAAGTCTGACTGCTTACAAAATCTATAAGGAAACCTATAATTACCATTTAATAAAACAAACAATATTGGCAGCCCAAAAAAATCTTTACAAAAATGGGCAAAGAACACCATTTTGGTAAAGGTAATTTATTCATTTATTTTCTTTCTACCAAAACCTATCCATCTGAAATTGATTCGAATAATTATTTGATATATATAATATCCATAAATGTTGTGTGTGTTCCCCTTGGTCCCTGGCCCCTTAACCAAATTGCAATGGTGTCCTTGTAAGTACTCTGTCCGCCATACAAGTAGTTTGATTTTCTATGTGTGTTCTCTCTAAGATATATACTTAGCCAGAAGGATACTAAACCATTTTTCCTCTCGTTTGGCCAGCGTCGCGGATCCAGCTCTGAGCAGGATGCAGTGCCGCCATACAGCTTCGACAATCCAAATGCCCGACAGACCTCGATGATGGCCATGGAGAGTTATCGCCGCGAGCAGCAAATGTTGCAGATGCAACAGTTACAGCAGCAGCAGCAACAACAGCAACAGCAGCAGCAACAGCAGCAGCAACAGCAACTTAAGCCACCGAATGGCGGAGCAGCCACATCCGGAGTGGCCAACAACCTGGCCATGGTGGCTGCCTCAAGTGCAGTCACCGCTGTGGCCACCACCGCCAGTACCAGTAATCCCGGAGGTAATACCCAAGGATCGGAGGGTCCCGAAGGCGCCGAGGGCGGCGATGACGAGGACAACCTCTCGCAGGCCAAGGGCCTGCCCATCCAGATGATGATCACGCCCGGGGTAAGTCAGAGATTCGCAGGATAGCAGCGGCCATTACCCATAACCATATACTCGCAAATTCGTATATCTTGAATATCTTAATGTTTTCAAAGTTCCTAAATCGTATCCGTATCCTTATGTATTAGTAAATGTGAAGCCGTTGAAGCTGGATCGAAATATACTCAAATAATTCCAATTATTACCCCAATTATATGTATATTTCTCACGTTTGGTTCGTTCTCATTTGCCAGGAAGGAAGATGGTTGAAAATTGTTTTTGAGTTTCTTCGTATCCCAGAGTATTTTCCTTAGTTTTCCAATATATTGGCAGCCTTTTTTTGTAGTCCTTAGTCTCTACCCCTAGTTTAGCTTCATGTTCTCTCTATCTTTTGATTTGATTCACCACAAATTGTTGATTAGAAAGAAATTTACAAAAAAAATAAAATAAAACTCTTGAGAACAAAGCCAAGTTCTTTAACAACAACAACTATACACATTTCAACTTTTAGATTTTACGGGGACGCAGTAAGGAGGTACATTCAAAGTATACACAAAGAACTCAACTACTCTAAATACTCTCTACTCTACTCAACTCGAATGCATTTGTGCCACAGCTAAATATCCTTAAATGTCCTTGTCTTTGATTGATTTTGAATGGATTTGCGGATTGATCTTGTCTTCTTTTCAGTGGCTGAAACCAATGCTGAACCTTATCCTCTTTTTTTATTTTGTAACAGAACAAAGAGCATTTGCAGAAGGAATGCTGCATAGAATTCTATTAATTTCTCTTATTATATAATTTAATAAATATATTAAAATAATATATTAATATCGATCGAATGTTCTTTCGGAGCTGCATAGAATTCCCCTGATTTCTCTTCTTTTTTTATTGTTAAATAAAATATTTAGCTTAAATTGATTTAAAAGTATTTTCTTTTCACATCAATAACTTGGTTATAGGTCCATAAAATTTATTTAAATAAAAATTTCTATTTTTTCTATTGGATTTTGATGAATAAGAAATAATTTTAGAAGCTGCAGCCGCCTTTGGAGAAGTGTTTCATATGTATATTGTAGATTTATAAAGAACTGAAATATATAGTTTTAGTTTCTCATTATTTATAATTCAAGCCCTTAACATTTTCTCAGTCTGTAAGCCAATATTTTTGCTATTCTGCTAACTCCATTATTCTGCTAACTTAAGTTCATCAAAGAAAATGCTAAACAATTTTGTAACATTTTCCAAATTTATATTTGGTCTTTTTAACCAACTTTTCGTTTTATTTAACCAAACACACTCACAATTATACACAAAATCAAGACACTAAAACATATTAATTTAAGTGTTTATTGAATAATATTTAAAAAATATAGATTGATAAGTTAATGATAGGAAACAAAGGGGTTATATAAAAACTAAAGCTTCAAAAACGGAATAATAATAATTAGGCTCTTAGGAAACCTCTATTTCTGATAGTTTTCCAAGTTGGAAAAGCGCTTTCCTTTGGGGACAATGCCACTGGCTACATTCCATGAAGTATCCGGCAGCCGATTCTGTCCTGGAAACTGTCCCTGACCCTGTGTCTGCCACTGTTGATTCTGCTGCTGCTGATGCGAGGCCATTCCCGGAATACTCTCTACAATGGCCGGCACGGGCGTGGGATGATCATTCTGCTGGAGCGGCTGCTTCAGCTTATCCAGCAGCGCATGCAAATCTACGGTAAGCTTAGGCTGGACAATACCCTCGGCTGCTTGCAGTCCCACCATTTGTGAGGATAGAGCATCCACATCCTGGCGAGCGGCAAAAAGCAATTGATCGTGTGCCGCCAGCTGGAGCTGGGCAATCTGTGCCCGAATGGCCGAGGCAGCCACCTCCTGCTGGGCAGTATGCAGCGAGGCAGTGACGCTGCGCACTTGGTTGGCCGACTCCTCCAACTGGGCCTGGGCCGATGAGGCCACCGCCTGTGCCTTTCTTATTTCGGTAGCCTCCAGCTGAACCCGCGCCTGGGCCACATACAAGTGCTGGACAAGATTCCGCAGATCCTGACGCCGCTGTTCAGTCTCATCTTGTTCGGCATAGGCATTGGGCACTGTGTCGGAGATTCTTTCTGTGGGAGTGTTTACTTCCTGATACAAAGGTGCCTGATGGGAGTAAGTGATTGGAAGAGAGGCACCTTGAGCAATGCTTGGATTCAGCTCCATTTGGCCAGAGTTAAGCATATTTTGATCTACAGCGGGTAGGCCTATATTGGAAGCTGGGAAATTAATTAAAAATGAGAGAAAAAGTTATTTGGGAAGTGCAGAGACTAACTTAAAATAAAAACTTAAATTTAAATTTAAATTAAAAATATTTTTGGAAGTCTCCTATCACAACTACCTACCTTGAGAATAGGTATCCATTAGATTAGCACCAGTGTCCGTTCCTTGTGATCTTTTGTGTGTTTTTATTAGTTCCCCTTTTGAGTGTAGATCTGCTTTTGCATCCTTAAAATGATTATTTTCATTTTTCCATGAACTGGCATAGGGATAGGGCTTTTTAGTACCATCATACATCGGTTGTCCCTGGGCACAGAGAACCACAGAGACTAGAACTGGTGATAGCATCGATATATAGTATATAATATATTATATAGTTTTTATTAGATATTCTTTAAGAGGTTCTACTTACCGATCCAAAAGAGTTTTACAGCAGCAATCATTGTGGAATTGGAATATAATATATTCTTTTTTAGGTTTTCACTTTAAGTATTATGATAAAAGTCTGAGAAATATACATTGACCTACTTAGCTTTGGGATTTGATTACAGATTTTAAATCTACAGGCAAATTGTTGAAGTTTATAAGCCAAAAAACAAGTAAATATATATAAAGAAAAGGAATTTTTAGTAGGGGAAATCGTAAGCATAAATGGGTAGAATTAAATGATTTAAAAGGTTACTAAGGCAATTAATAATTTATTATTTTAAATACAATTTAACCTAAGTGAGAAGCTATCTCTAAGAATAAAGGGAATCCCCTTAAATATAAATATCACCCCCACCTTGGCAGGCACACCCCTCACACAGCTTGAGCCGCATGCGATAACACAGGACCTTTCGATTTATTTTTATTTTCTTTCCTGCTAACCCTACTACTTGTAACCCCAAGAGTTACTTTTGCATGCGGCATGCCCTGCATCCTGTGACCTTATTGTACATATTCCAGCCTAGATCTATACTATATATATATAATCCGACTGCTAAAGTTCGATGCGTTTCGAGTCATTCACACGCGTTGCAATGATCCCACAACCAACTATTTATAGGAAGTGGCCGAGCTGCGACGCCAAGTGGCGCTGGAGAACCTGCAGAACCAGCGGATGGACAACCTGGAGCAGGATGTGCCCGTGGAATTCGAGTGCTGCTTCTGCACGACCAAGGTAACCAGAAACCGATCCGAATTCGAATTCGAATCCGAATCGGAATCGGAATCCGTAGCTGTGCTCACTCGATGTTTCCCGTTTGCAAATGTTTGAGATGCTTTTCCTGTACTGTGCTCTGTGTTAGTCGCATGCTTGCACTTTTAGATTTTCCCTACGGCTACTCTTTGGTTCCATTTCCGTTACCGTTACCTTTACCAACTAACCCCAAAAACTAAACCCTTAACTAAAAAGAATTCTTAAATTAAAATCATGCTAAACAAAAAAACCTGTACATAAATAAACCGCCTAACCGACATTGGCAAAGACTGTGAAAATTGTTAACCGCCGCAGAATGAACTCCGATCCTGGCTCAACTTTGTAATTTGGGGGTGTCACAGGAGTAGGTTTCATCAGGAAATGTTTAGGTTTATGTAAAACCACAAATGATTTGCGTTTTTAAAAGCAACCTTTTCATATTCTTCTTTCCTTTCTGGGAATTTAAATTTAAGTCAGAGATTTGCACAGCAGTGAAGGTGTCATTTCTTAATTTTTTAAAATTTTTGTACACAGTTTAAAAAATCAATCTAGAAACCTAAAAAGTAGTCCGAAATGATGTAACATTTAAAATATAATAAGATAACAAAAAACTTAACTTTTTACACAAATTTAAGCTGAATTTAGTACCGAAAACAATTTAAAAAATAATTTGGATATCATTTTAAGGGCTTTTATTATTAATTTTAGTAGCAAAGATAGGTTTCTTTTTTAATAAATTTCTGTGACATCTCCGATTATACTTTTTGGTAGAGACTTCAGCTTCTTAAATAGGTCCTTCTAAACATTAGGCCATCCCGTACTTGTAGTTGGATTGGTAGACCAGCGATAACGATACCAATACCGATACCGATACCAAAACGAACATTGTTGCAGGATCGCATTTGCGTTTTCCACGACAAGGAGTATAGCATCAAGCGGCTGGCCCGACCGCCGCCCTCGCCCAAAAACTATATGGCCCTCAAGAGGATGCTCGAGGAGGGCACCATCGATATATACTATCTATAAAGCCAACAACAGAGAGAACCAGAGAACCAAGCAACACAAAGTGTGAAATTGTCCTTGTCCCCAGTTTATTTTATTCATGGAGAAAATCAGAAATTCCAAGAGATTTATAATCAATAAAAAAGGCTTAGAGTAGGCTTTAAAAATATATACAAATTTTTAAATACTACTCTCAGGTTTCATTTAAATTGATTTGATATCTCTAGAGATTTCTGAAACTCCTAGATATTTTTTTACATTTTTATTTTGTTGGCTTCCTGTGTGAGAATTGGAATTGGATTTGGAAATGGAAATTTTTATGTTGACCTTGTTTCTTTTTCGTTTCTTTTCTTAAAGGGTTTGCCGGGATGTCATGGCGAGTGTATTCCATTGCGCGCGAATAGCGTTTAGCCAGATTCTCAAGACCCCCCTCGTTGTGGATGGGTTCGATATCGATATAGAAAATCGGAATTGAGATCCTTAGCAGGTCTTACACTTCCGCGGCGCATCGAATGCGCTGAAACGGAACTGCGAATTATGATTAGCGAATAACTTACTTAGCTTTAAACTACCAACAACAAATTACAACTAAATGTTATTATTATTACTATTATTATGATTACTACTGTTACTACCTACTGTCGTTATCAACCGGGCCTGGCGTGACGTGATTACGCGTGAAAGCTAAAGAAAGACATAGCGAATTCTAAGAATTTAATTAAATTAACCAGAAACCTAATCTCTGCAATCTAAGAACGCAACCAGGAAAGGAAACCAAAAAGCAGCATGTGTTATTATTTAATTTAATGTGTAAACGGAGGGCTTGACGAAAGTTTAAATCGATTCTTTTTATTTACACTAAGCACGTAATTACAACTCTCTAGCCTAATGCCTCTATTTATATCCTAGCAAAATGGCCTAAGCCTTAATTATAGTAGCTGCAACTTGCAAAACGCCAAACCAATAATAGTTATCAAAACAAATTACTACAATAAAAACAGAAATACTATATTGTTTAGTTACTTGAACAACCAAATATGTAAACGTTATTATTTCCTGTTATCACTCAATCAAAAGAACAAAAACCAAAACAATGAAAGTCACAAACAAGCGAATAATAAAATCTTGCAAATAAAAACAAAATACGAAACAATGGAATCTATATATTTTTTTGTTTATCAACTTTATTCGCACTCGACTATCTGGCACTCCACTTCTTCTTCTACTGACTGTTTCCGTATTGCTCGCCTAGAACTTTTCTGTTTCTGTTGGTTTCGGTTTCAAATTAGAGTATTTTAATATATATTTAATGTTCGAGTAATGGAACCCACTTCGAAGGCAACTCCTCGCGGTTGGCCCAGGCTGGTAAGTAAGGCGATTACAAAATTCCCGAAACCGAATCTTTAAGTTTATGGCGTTTGCTCAACTTGCGTGGGGTTTTATCTAGAAATAAAATTAATAAAAAATAAACTTAAGTAATAAATATTATATTTCATATTATATTTCTTTTCCTTCTATCTTTAGTGCTTTAAAATATAAATTACTTGTTAAACAAATGCCTCAAAATAACAAGTTGAGAACTCGCACTGCCTTTGTTTAATTTACAAATTAAATAATAACAATAATAATTATCTAAAAACCTTCACAATAATATAATAATAATTATAACAATTAGCGCTGCACGTTTGAGTTTTACTTGGCGCCTCCTAGTTGCATGTTAATTTTTATTATTCGAGCGAACAACCGACTCGCACACAATTAAAAAGCTAACTCCAGACAACAGGTACACCCATCTTAACCAGACACTAATAAGCAGCTAGTAAACGTTATAAAACACACTAAAACGAGGTGAAATAAATATTTTTAAAGGGAAAATACGACAAGATTGAGGTTTAATTGGAATTTTGGATTTTTAAAAAAGTAAAAGCCGTTTAAAATATATTTTAAAAGTATTTTTATGAAAAAAAAATGCCTAATAAACCTTTTTTCTAGAAACTAAATAAATAAATTATTAAATAATGGATATAATAAATATATTCTTTATAAATAAACAGAATCGTAAATTAAACCTCAACCACATCGACTTGATCCCTTGGGTTTCTGTGTTTCTTTGTGTATTACAAATAATAAATCCTAGCTCCCATTTACTGAAACCAAAAATTACCTGTTCGTTGCAGGACTTCAAGGAGTACACCGATGCGGAGGGCGTGATCTCACTTCCAACTTCCGACTTCCACAAGCCAATCTGTCTGGAGATGCGTCTGGCTGCCGCCAATCGCCAGGCGGGCGTCTTTGGACTCCTGGCAGGAGCAGCACAACCACCGCCACCTCTAATGCAAGGACCCTTGTTGGCATTGCCACCACCGCCTTTGCCGCTGCTGCAGCCACCTGCCACCTCCACCTGCCCGGCTGTCCTGCTGCCCGCCATCTCACAGTCTTCGTCCACTTCCTCCTCGTATGGCACCACCACCTCCACCACCATTGCCCTACCCCTGGATGCTTCCATGCGTTACGGGGCCGCCATCTGCAGTTCGTCGAACTTCAATCACAATTTCAACAACAACTTCAACACGACCACGGCGAACGGAATGCTTCTCTTCGGTGGCGGCAACTACAATGGGAATAATAACAACAACGCGGATCTGGCCAGCGTGGACAGCTCGGACACATATGCCAGCTGCCAGACGCATCCGTTCCTGTCGCAGGGCGATCTCACGGCGGACTTTAACGACGAGGCCTGCGCCCTGGACATCGATATGGACAACCTGTACATAAATCCCCTCGAGCGAGAGCAGCAGGGCATCAGCAGCTCCACGGGCTTCATTGTGGGCCTGCCGGCCACGAACTCCTCGGGCGCCCTGCGTGCCCAGGTGAAGAAGAGTGCCTCCGGCGACACGGCGCTGAGGAACCTGGCCTCGGGCGGTGCCGGTGCCGGCGGTCTTAGTCCCCTCGACGATGTCTATCAGAGCTTTGATGTACAGGAACGCGGCAGCCGGGTCAGTCTGAATGAGAACTCAGTGCCAAAGCACAGAAAGACGCGGTTCCAGCAGAGTTTCACTGCCATGCGACCGACCAGTGCTGCCAGCTCTGGTTCCGGAATGGGCCTACGTCCACGAGCCCGATTCGAGGACACCAAGCTGGACGATGAGACGATCGGAAGATTGGAGGGTATAAGTCAGGCTGCAGCCGGTGCCTCTAGTAGTCCAGCGACCAGCGGCTCGGGGGGATTCGGAGGCGGACCAGGACTGGGACCAGGACCCAAGAAGAAGCGCTCGGTATTCATGCCGGGCAAGAGCTTAGCCACTGCCACCAAACTGATCAACCAGCATTTGTTTGGCATACAGAATGTGGGCGCCAAAGGTAAGCTATAATTTCCTTATCCTTGGAAATTCATTGCTAATCCTAATCCCTTCTACAGCCAAGTTCGAGAGCAAGCATTCCTCATCGATAGACTCGATTGACGCCTCGCCCAATCTGGAGCATCATCGACGCTCCAAGTCGATCCTGAAAAACAAGTCTGATGTCTCGCGCGTCCTGTCCGATCCGGAAAGCGAGCGCCTACTCGCGGACAACATGTCCGGTTCCGGTGTCTCCGACAATGGCACCGTTATGGTAAGTCCTTCTTATAACATATATAATTAAATATATATTTATGGCTTATTAAATTTTTGTTAATATTTTACAGGGCGAATCCGGCAGCGATTACTCACCGAATAAATTACCTCATTCAGTTTTAGCTAAGTCTATATCCCCACCACCCCTCAGGCACCGCACCCTAATGCACCAGCGCTCAGGACCAGCGACCTTGCAATCGAAGCCCACAAAGTTCCAAACGCCGCGCTATCCCGAAGAGCAGGCTTTACGCCAAGTCAAGCCGCTCTTGTCGCGCACTGTACAAGCCACATCCGCTTCCGGTTCGGCAACGGCAGGATCAGCGGATGGCCAGCAGACCAGGGACAGCAGTCTGGGTAGGTGGTAGTTTTTGCGAAAGAGGCGAAGAGCTGGCAGTGATGGGATGTAGATATATTTATTTATTTTATATTTATTTGAAAAATATTTGTTTTGTTTTACAAATTTCTTTTAAACTCCCATCACTGCCTTGTCTCCTTCGCCTTTCTTTCCTTCTCTTTCTTCCTCTGTCTCTCCCGTCTCTGTCTCATATCCTGTAAGTGCGTCTTGGTGTCCTTTTCGGCCTTGACGATACCAGAAATCATCTACAACCGTATCTTCTCTCTCTCCTGTCTCCCCCACTATCGCTTGCTGGCTGGCCGTCAGTCACCGTCTTCGATGGCGCCTTCTGAATCTGAATCTGAATCTGAACCCGCATCTGCATCCGCATCTCCCGACATCTGCATGAATCCACATATATACAGATACAGACACAGACACACTGACACCCCGCGGAGAGCAGCGGCGATCTGTTCGTATTACTTGTAACTCCATCCGATCCGAGGGGATCCGTTCCTCCTTTTCGTTCAGCACTAACTCACCCTGAGCGCCAGGCTCTTTGTTCACAGATTGCGTTTTAGCACACGGCTAGGATTAGCCTCCGAGCTTCAAATCGATGTTAAGCTTTGACTCACAAACTCATACAGACATCACTTTTAGAATCCTTACACGTACATGCCGCTTTCTGTCTAGCACTTGGAAGGAAACTAAGGCCATTTTAGGTGGCAAAAAAATCAATTTAGAAGTTAAATTATAACTAGAAATAAAATGTTTCCAACAAAGACCTAAAATGGCTTTAGAATCCTTCACTCATCCTGTGTAAAATCGGTTGTGATGTAATTATCTTTATTTTCCAATTATTAATAGTTTTTTTTTCTTAAACCTAGATTCGGAGACGACCTTCACATCGCCCGTAAGCAGTCCGCCGACTGTCACTGCCTCGACTTCCGCTTCCGCCTCTGCGTCTCAGACTGCCGCCGCCTCCGCCGCTCAGGATGATCGCGAGGAGGAGGGCGAGGCGGAGGCGAATGATGAGCAGAGGGCCTTGCTCCAAGGAGGCGATGGCGAGACGGCCAAGGAACGAGCGGAGGGGAAGCGTGGAGCGGGCAATGAGGGCACGTAGCAATTAGGGACACACACACAGAGCGCCAAGTATATGTAAGAGAGCTGTGGGGGATATCCTTTGGCAAGGATACACCACAATCTACACCACAAAATACACCACACAATACACAACAAAATACACCACACAATACACCACACTCTACACCACACAACACAATACAACACCACACCAGAAACCATACAAAAGGGAAAACTCAAAGTGATAGCAAAGTTAGCAAACATGGAATGTGAATTATATAAAAGCAATGAACAGTATCCTAGTCTAGAGATGGTGGGGTCCCAGGCAGATCCAAAACCAGATCCCTGTCTCGGTTCGATCTGCATATTTTTACAAAAAAAAAAAAAAAAAGAAGGAAAGGAAGTAGGAGCAGGAGCAACCCAAAAACTATGTTGCAGAGCCGCGCATGTCGTACAAAAAGCAGCATATATATATATATATAATATATTATACAATACGATATAATAATGCTACAATTGGCAGAGTCGTGTAAATAGCAGAGCCCAATCCAAACTCGTGTACAGAGCAAATGAAACCTTTATTTACCGCCTTCAGGACACAGCTAACAGAACTAAAAAAAATATATAGACGAAATCACCAGAAAAGCCTAAATAGCAACAAATGAAACCGAAACGGAAACGGAAATATTCATATTTTGAATGCAACTTATAAATATATACACAATATATAGAATATACACGCATCGCAATTGCAACTCGCATATTTACACATTATATATACAATCTAAGGCGCCTACGATTTATATATACTTATATATATAAATAAAGCTCCAACTATTTTTCAAACCACGCGCTAAACACCACAGAGATCGGCCAAGCTAAGGAAGATATATTATAGTCGGCATCACACCCTATAAATTAGAGATCCATGCATATGCATAAATCTGTATGTAAATCGTTCGTTCGTTTCATATAAAATGTCAAGCAAAAAACGTAGTTGAAAATCGTTGGGCCAAACCCCCAAATGTTCGTTTCTATATCTATAAGTATATGTGCGTGTGTGTACGGCTTAGGGCTTATCGATAGAGCTTGGCTTTTGGCTTTAACTTCCCGATAAAACCTGATTTGCCATATATGCACAGAGAGATGGGTAAATGCTAAGAGGCTTGAATGTAGATGTTGTTATTTATTATGGGTTTAGGGACGAAAACGTAAAGATCTCGGGATAAATCTCCCTCAAAAGGTGTCTAAAAGTATGCAGTAAAAAAGGAAACAATTTTGTTGCATACTTTTAAGCACTTTTTTGGTTGATTTTAAAGTGTAAAATGCTGAAATCTTGAAGAGAACCTGGCTATTTAGCATGTCCCTGCCCATATACTGTTAGTTAGTTACTGAGCGTGTATGTGTGCATGTTAGTTAGTTGAGTTAGTTAGATCTCTACCCTTTAGGCAGTTGACTCGATGTTTAGTTCCTTAGTTGTTGCGTTCTCCGAATACGTAAGCAATAAAATTGAAAGATCGTGTTTAGTCAATTATATATTTGCAATCCCAAAAGTTGTATGTCCACCACATTCCATTCCGTGTATGCGTGCGCGTGTGTGTAATGGCCTAGGTGTATTCTATATATATCCTCCATATGGGTTATCCGTTATCCCGATCGATGATCTGTCCAGCAGGCTTTTGCGTTTATCCTGTTTAGTTGCCATTGATCAGCCAGCGATGAGCCAGGATGCGAGTAGCCTCTTAGAAACATATCAGTAAAGGGAATTCGAACTCACTCACACCACACCACACACTCACCACTCACACACATACACCACACACCAAACACCCACACCCCACACACACACACACAAACCTTGCACTGTAAAGAAAAACAAACACAAATTTTATTACGAGACGATAATAAAATGTCTCAACGTCCGCTTTTCGAATTGATAAGAAAACACTGGCAAAAAAAAAACACACACACGAAACATTATTCGATAATTAATGTTAAAGCCAAGAACTCGAAGTAATATAGTTAAACATTTTTAGAACTATGTGTACGTATACATATTGACAAATGCTTGATGCATCCAAACAAATTTTGTAAGCAATTCATTTAGGATTATCCACACGGTCTTTTCGGTGAGCACAGGACACATTCCATCATTCCCCTAATTTAATTGTAACTTTTGTAAATATTTATTTTATATACAAAGCCCGGCCACCAAGTGTTTTGTTAAGATTATCATACTTTTTATTTTTTAAATTTATTTACGCCGCAACTGCAGACGAATTGAACTAAGAACTTGAATTAAAACTAACGAGATATTAAGTAACACGCAAATGTTATTAATATTTAAGTTATTTATCTAACGATACATACCTTTTAACGACAAAGAATGTAAATCAGCTAAAAACAAAATCAATACCGAACATCGTTGACAAAACCATACAAATTTATTAAAGCGTATTTAAATCTATATGAGCGAAAGGTCATGAAAATATATATAAACCATTGAGTAACATTTAAAGAGTGTGTTTTATTAATCTATGGGGAGGGAGTGGGAGTTTATATATATTGTATTTCTTGTCTACAGCCGACGATATACGAAGTATGCATTATCAATGAGCTGTTTCTGAAATGTATCAGTTATAATAATGAAATATATAAATTGAAAAATTAAAGATATTTACATTATCATCCGACAGTGGGGGATCCAGATAAGAATACAGTTCCAAAGGTTTTTGGGTGCTGGGATCTCGGCTTGACTTGATGGCCCTGAAGATATTCGCTATGGAGCTATGCGGCTGATCAGCATGATCTATATAGTAGCAGTACAGAAATTCTAACTTCCTGCAGTTCTCAATTATTTCGATAATTTCCCTTGCAGATATATAACTCAGCATACTTTCCAGATACAGGGATCGTAGTTCAGTGAGTTTAGTTAGTGGTGCCAAGGAATTTTGCCCGCCAACGTTCAACGCAAGTTTTGTCAAATTTTTGATTTGTGAAATCAACTCAAAATCACTGGGATTTTTGAGGCTAGCTCCTCGTATGGAAAGATTATCCAGCTGGGGAAAGCATCTGGCAATTACTGAAACACTTTCAGAGCATTTGGCAAAACCAGAAACTCTTAATTCCCGCAAGTTGGGGATAAGACGGAAGAACTCCTCCATGTAGCAAAGGCACGAAGGGATATTAACACTCAAATAGCCGCGACCTTTTTAAATTGAAATCAATTTTAAATTAGTTTTAAAAAGTTTTAATTTTACTTACTTCTAAGAGAGGAAAATCGAAACATGTCATCGATTCCAGGCAATTCTTTCCAGCAACTCCGGAAATTAATTTTATTTCTGGTTTCAGAGAGAATTCGAAAGTCTCGAACTGCATTTCCTAGTTCCTCTTGATCGTGGTAATGTCCTTGTATTACACCCAGTGTCCTGACGTTATTATTCAGAACCCTGAATAGCTGAACTGCGGATTTTGTGTAATATAATACAGGTTTGTTGGTATGAAATGTCGGATAAATAGCCTTGGACTGATCCATAATAATTTCGAAAAACCTAGAGTTTGATTTGGATAGATTCACATGATCACTGAGACTTAGGTATTTTAAAATATTTAAAAGGCAGTCGTCGTTTAAATCGATTATGGTAAGCATTTCAAAGAAGATCTTTACTAGAACAGGGTAAAATTGAAACTGAATATAAGAGGCTGTGAGTGGTAGCAATAAATAGGCAGGTAAGTCAAGTTATCCGTCGAAAACCACGGGGTTCCACACGATACGACTTATCAACTTACAGCCTTTATCTTACTCTCTCTTTTATGTAAAATAATCTATATAATTCGAGATTTGTTTATCAGTTTGAAAGATAATTTTGGAGATTCCAAATACTTGGATAAGAAGTTTTATTGGGAAATTATTGGGAATGTTTATAGAGGTGACAAAATTTGACTTGTCTGCGGAACTGTATTAGTAAATGTATAATTTATAAATGTAAAATATTTTTATTGCTATAATAATTTGATATGTATTTTATAGTATGTTCTTCCACCCTTTAAATATAAGAATTCATCCTGCTAAAAGCTTTTAACCTGAACTTAAAGCTGTGCCATTCAAAACTTCAACCCCAAAGGAACTTAAAAAAGCTCCAAACTCTTAACCAAAAAATCCTTTGAGCTTTCACAGGACTTGCTAGCTTCTGAACCTGTGAATCTAATTATAAGTAAGGCTAATTAACCACAGGACATGTCGAGAATCACTCACCCCTCTCACCATTTTTTTATCCTGCCAGCAGAAAGTATTTCAATTATTTAGTCTAGCTTTGCTCACGTAATGAGGCGTGGTTTTCTGTCTCTGAACTATCTAATTATGCCCGGCCTTTGAGCCACGCCCCTTCGATGGCCTTATAAATGCCCGATTAACGCAATTAGCCCTCAATTAGGCACCATGTACTCACCGGAGGAGGCCAGGGCTCTGGAAAGGCGAAACTACCACAGCATCCGTGAGATGATATGGCTCTCCTATACGGTGGGCTTTAACCTGATGGAACCGCATCCCTCTCGTCTGAGAATGTGAGTGATTTTGAGGGATAAGGTAGCTGTATGATACATCTTTGCTCTCCCAAGACAGATGGACTGTGGTGCTTAGCCTGAGTAGTCTGGCTTCGCTTTATGGTCACTGGCACATGTTATTAAAATATATCAATGAAATTCCACGCATTGTTGAGGTGAGTTATGAATTTGGTAATAAAATTTCTTAATTTATTTATTAAATTATGTCATATATATATTTTCTATAGACTGCAGGCACTGCCCTACAGTTCCTTAGTTCGATTTTTAAAATGTGGTATTATCTCTTTACACATCGCCGTATATACGAACTTTTGCGTAAAGCCCGCTGCCATGAATTACTACAAAATTGTGAAATCTTTACAGAGATGTCAGGTAAGGATATATTGCATACATAAATTCCTTAAGAATTTTTTTTAATAATTTATTCATAGATCTGCCGGTGGTAAAAACCCTCCGACAGCAGGTGGAGACCACAATGGAAAGGTATTGGGCCAACACTCGTCGCATACTCTTGATATTTCTTTACAGCTGTGCTACCCTTACTTCGACATATTTTCTAAGGTCCTTTTTAACAAGTCTATATCAGTACTTCTTTCTACCTGCAGGAAGCTTTGATATTGTTTTGCGTGAGTTGAGAAAGCAACTTAAATATAAAGAGTACTCTTAGTTAATTTATTTTTTAAATTAAAAAGCTTTCGAGTCCCTTTATCCCTCCTGGAAAGGCAAGGGAATGACTTTTCCGTATTTTCACATCCAAATGTATATAGAAACCTGTTCCCTTTATATCTGCGGAATGGGTGAGTGGCTTCCAAACATATATTCTAATTTACTAGAATTAAATATTCAATTTTTCTCAGCTGCTGTAAGTTTTGATGGAGTTTTCATTGTCCTGTGCCTGCACAGCGTCGGCCTGATAAGGTCTCTTAACCAAATGATTGGATACTCCACAACTGAGTTGGTGCCAAGGGAAAGAAGGGTTCAGTATCTAAGATGTTGCATTTATCAATACCAAAGAATTCACAGGTAAATATTCAATATTTACAGAGTTTCCTCACCCTTATAATTGTTTCCTAATAAGTTTTGCAGCGGAAATCAATGCCTACTTCCGGCAAATCACCTTCTCGCAGTTCTTGCTCAGTCTTTTTGTGTGGGGCCTGGCGCTGTTCCAGCTGAGCGTGGGATTGGTGAGTTTTCCGACCTTTTAAAAGGGAATTTTTACCCAAAATGTCCCCCCAACTTTCCCTGCAGAACAGCAGCTTTACGATAATCCTGATGAGCATGTACCTGCTGGCTGCTGGCTACCAGATAGTTGTTTACTGCTACAATGGCCAGCGATTCGCGAATGCTGTGGGTGACGCAACTGGGGAATCCCCCCATTCCAGATGTTCCCCCTCTTCTCCTGCCTAATTGCGCGACTAATCTCTCTTTCCGCAGAGCTCCCAGATTGGCAGGGCCTTCTACGAGTGCGAATGGTACGGGGAGTCACGGGAGTTTCGCCAGCTTATCGGCATGATGCTGATGCGCACGAATCGGGATTTCAGGCTGGACGTGTCCTGGTTCATGCAGATGTCCCTGCCCACGCTAATGGCGGTGAGTTGAACCCCTCCAATCCTCACCTATACCAGCCCCTCTCTCACTTGATTGATTTGCAGATGGTCCGGACAAGTGGACAGTACTTCCTGCTGCTGCAGAATGTCACCCAGAAATAGGACTAAAAGTTCACAGAACAAAAAATGTGCTGAAAAACTTTGGTTAGTTCTGCTTTGGGACATATTGAAATGGCGGTGACGGTTAATAAAAGTTATGTGGGCACTGGAAAAAAAAATTTGGTATATTCTTAGGGTATTTTTATTGAGTACTTTTATATTTAACTAGTTGGATGAGAAATTTCCTATTTTAAATTTTTAAATATTTAATATCTTAGGGTCTCGCCTAAAATCTGGCTTATTTGTTTACTTACTCAACCAAAACTCTCTTCATTAATATTTTGCCTTAAATATTAATACATTAATTTCCTTACATTTCATTTAATAATAATAAATAATAATTTAGCTTGAAAAATGGCAATATGGTTGAATATTCTTCTGCGTGGCTGAACTGAAACTGTCAGTCTGAAATTGTTGACAGGATGCGGAGTCCGGTCAATCAATACTACAGAGTCCAGTGTCCAGTGCCCAGTGTCCTGCGTCCTGTCAGTCAGATTGGTGCGTCCGCCCATAAGTTTTGATGGTCGTGATGCGAAGCATTAAAATAATGAAATTGCCAGCAGATAAGGAGCATCGATGCCGCTGCCATTCCCGTTTCTAATCAATTTTATTTATTTGGCCGGACATTCAGCGGAGCGAAACAGAGAACTTCGGCGATTGTCTTTATGTCTGCTGTGACTGTATATATAAATATATTTATATCTATATGTACTGGCCGCTTTAAATGCCTTTTTCTTGGCCGCCAAATCGCGTCTTTAATTGTTAGTTTCGCTTTTATTCCCAGCTCGGGGAACGGACTCGGTCTCTCAATATTTTTAATGCACGTTCGCTGTTTGCGCTGCCTTTGTTTGCCTTTCTTTATTTTCTTAACGTTATTCTTTCTTTTTTTTTCCTTTTGGTTCCTACTTTTATCATGCTTCTTGCCTCACTTTAGTGCCTCGAGTCGGGGTGCTGGCAAAAAGGACATCTTTTCTTTTCGGTTTATTGAGGCACATGAATATTCTTTAGCTGCTTATATCTCCTCCCTTGGCTGTGTGAGCATCTCCTAAAAGGAGACGCTTTTTCGGGCATTTATTTTTCGCATTATGTTTTATATTTGTCCAACGACAACAATACTTTATGCATTGTGGAATGGCTGTTATCCAGTTTGGTTTTCTGTATTTTTTTTCTCTTTTTACAGACATTACTAAGGAGTGAAATATTGGTAAAGAACAGTGGGAAAGTGAGCTCAAAGGATGTGGGTTTTATTTTAAAAATGTTTGGTTTTTAAAGCTTATTATAATTATTTAAAATTAATATTTTATTTATAAATTGGAATACACTTCTGTGGGATATCGTATATTATTATATATCTCTTTAAAATCTTAAATTTCTGCTTGTGTATTAAATTCTTTGATATGATTCTTTCCTCGTTCCTCAAATGGAAGCTCAGTTTCCTTGGCAATTTATTTTATTTTTTTTATCTACCCACTTCTCACTCTTCCCCGCTAATTGTCCAATTAGAACAACAATAAAATAAAAGTTGTTGACTCGCCACTGGCCACTGCTCATTAAGGGCATCTTTGTCTTCAATGTTTGTCGCTTGTTCCCTCTGGAAAAATGGATTCATTCGCCTGGTAAATGGGGAAAAAGTTAGCGTCAAAGGTTGGCATGATAAATGAGCTGCACTCGAATGCACATGTGGGAGAGAACCAGGACTTGCAGGACCACCTGCCGCCTTCCTTCTTTCCTCTAAATGGCCTTTTTGTAAAGTCGTACAATTGTTTGTCTAGCACGAGTGTATGTGCGAGTGTATGTGCGAGTGTGTGTGGCCTACTTGTCAGTCGATGGAGTTGCGCCTCGGGGCGTATGCGTGATGCAGCGTATATTAAGCTTTCGTGGCGTGAAAATTGCTGTAAACGAGATTCTCGTTAAATGAAAGCCAAATATTTTCATTAACACTTTGATGGCTTTATTTGTTAAGCAAATTAAGTGCAAAGATATACAATATTAAGCAAAACAAGTCGGAGAGGAAGAAAGTATAGGAAAACAATTGGAAAGGCAAGTCAATGTGGGAATTAATTGTTGGTAGGAGTTTAATTATATGAATACAAATAATATTCAAAAGCTTATTGCAATTCTTAAGTATTGAATTTAATAAAATATATGGTAAGTTGGCATATTTAAGGGATTTAAAGATACTTTTCAAGCAATTATTAAATGAAATTCAAATGCATTTACTCTCTCTTTAAGTCACTTTTAATTTGTTCCACTCATTGACCTTAAATTAGTCTTAGTTTTCCCACAAAACTATTGTTATTTCCAGGTCATTAGTCAACTGAAATAAGACGAAAATCCACAAACCTTTGTATTCCATTTTCATTTCCATTTCGCAGACAGCCAGCCAATGTCCCAAAAATAAATCAGTTATATTTACTTCCGCCAAACTTCTGGTCAAAAAACATTCAGCATATGGTCAAAGTTTCTTTTGTGTTTGGCCACGTACAAAGTATCTCTCGGAGTATCCTCTGGACACAGGACATACACACATATTGACAGTCAGGATGGCAAACAATATTCGTGTTTACTGTTTTGTCCCACCGGAATTGAAAGTGGCCTGCTTTTCTTTTTCACTCGCAGCACTTTGGCATTTGTCGACAATTTGCTTACGTTCTCTACTCCCTACACTCTCCATTCCCATGGCACTTGATGCGTAATCAGTGGGACAAACAGAATCCATCGAGGAATCTAGGACCATCTGCCCGGACATTGCTGACAAATCCGGATTGGGTGTCGCATTAGGAATGTAGGGAATGGAAGAGGAGTCCCCAAGTACTGACTACGCCAACCCAGGCGAAAAGGGACCCCCGTTTCGGCTCTATTAGCTGGATTGTCTTGGCCATAATGGAGTTAATATGTATGTATGCAGGACCTGCCTTTGATCCCACCACTCGAAAAGGCAGCAAAAAGGACGCCTAGAACGGGGGCGTGCACGTGCTGGGGAAATGTATATGCTCTCCACATACATATAGACGTTACGTCGACTTTGGGTCTTTATTCGGCAGTGCCAAGAATATTAGTCAATTGTGTGAGGGCCCAAAGTATACCATAAATGTTAACGGAATTCTAACCCAACAAACTCGTGCAGTTTTCAGAGAAAACATGAGGGGGAAAACAAGCATTTAAATGACGATTTAAAAGACAATCTGTCATTGGTTTTGGGCTTTTAAGTTGGAGCTTTTCTCAAGGCAAAGAAAAGAGGGGGAAATAAATAGATGATTATGTAGGTTTAATACTTGAAATTCAAGGATACAAATTTTATATAATAATGTTGCTTGTTTTGTTTTAAAAAGAAGTACACTATCTTAACACCTACAAGGTTTAACTCTGAGAAAAAAGAAAAACGAATATTGGAATTTCCCTGAGGAAAATATTGTTAGCCTAAATGAATTCGAGAAAATGCCCTTGGTGCACAGACAAAAGAAATGCCAAAACCGTTCAAGATCTGAGCACACACAAAGGCCAGATACGATAGTTGTTGCACCGATTTCAGTTCGGAGACGTGGCAGCATTTCCATGTAAATTGCAAGGAGACTCTTTCTCTTACGATTTTCATTTTTTTCCTCTGTTTCGAGGTGTGCTACGGGGTTTGGGGAGGGCCACTTGCCAAGGCCTACAACCGGAAGTGCCCATGAGCCGTGAAACAATGTGCTTGTCCTGGGCCTCCCTCTCGTTGGCCCCTGCCATTCCAGGCCCCACCTGAAGTGGCCGGCTTTTGTATAAATGCAGGGCACCTAAAAAAAATCCATAAATAAAGAATAAAATAATAAAAAAATAAATAATATATTGCATATATTTTAGGTATATTTGCAGCCATTAAACTTGTACATATTAAAATCAAAACTGGCAATTTTTTATAAAATAATTTATGAATTAAATTAGATCAATTTCCTATCTACCAAAAATATTAAAAATACATTTAATAAGTCTTATGCATTTTAGTAATACTTTTTGCACTTTACAGTACATAGTTCCCCTTAATTTTCATAGTGTAAAGACACCTCTGATTGTAATTCCGACACCACAGCTCTGAAACTGCGGCCCTGCCTTGTAAATGCGGCCAAGAAAGGCTGTTAAAAGTGTGCCTTAAACTTTCCGGGCCGCAATTTAATTTGCTGCACTTTAAGCTACAGGCGCTGCTTTACTCTATCCTTTATGCTCTATCGTTCTTTTTTCTTTATTTTTTATATACATATTTTTTGCCTTTTTCTTATTTGACTCCTCCGCGGGGCAGCCTTCATTTTATACAGTTGCTCGCTCTGCGCTGCTAGAGTTTTCATGCAATTTCTTTTTTAATTTCGCTCAACTTAGTCATGCGAAATGGCACTTGATGCTCCTTGGTTATAAGAGAGTGTGTGTATGCTCTGCGTGTGCGTGCCACTCTGCACATCCTTTCGAGTTTCATGGGAATTAACGCTAAGCTGCAGCAGCCGCGCATCCGTTTCCGGCACCGCCCGCCGCCATCTTGTCTTCAACCGCCATCTTTAGCAGCTCCTTTTTCCTTATATTTTGCACATTTGCAGTGCAAATAAAGAGTGAGAAAAAAAAGAAGAAACAACAATGCAAGTCCTTGTTCCCAAGCAGCAACAGTCAATTGTTATTTCAAACTCGGTGGCAACAAGAACGTAATGCAAATGCTCACTGCCATTCTCCATTGCAGACACACACAAAAACTTTTGCCACTTTATGCGATATGCCACGCCCCCGAACTGAAACTTTATGGCAACTAATGTTTAAGTAGAGGATAGTCGTATAAATTAAACAAATTTCAGCTGTGCAACAGAGAATATAAGAGGAAAAAGCCAATGGAAACGAAATTATATAGAAAAAAGTATATTAAAAAATTTGAATCCCATTAAAAAAGATTTTATAATACGTCCAAAAAAGTTTCAGTTATCAAAACACTTGGAAATTTAATTAACAAAATTCGCTTTTCGATAAAAGAAAAAACTAATTTGGGAGCT